AGCCGCTCTCCCCAGGCTCCCGGCCCTTCGCTCCACGTGCCTGTCACCCACGCAGTGACRTGAAGGTGCCCTGTGGGACACGGGGATGCGGCTCCTACCGGGAGCCAGGGCTTTTCCCACAGGGCGCCCGGCTCCAGGYGCCACCTCCAGCTGTTCAGGCGCCGGGCGCTCAGCCCGCTGCCRCTGAAAGCTTTTCCTGTGTTGAACACTTCCCACTCTGATCCCTTCGGCAGCTGGGAGGGRTGTCTGGGAAATGAGCCACTCGTGTGGCATTCCTGCTGAACGGGACACAGGGCGAACGGGAGAGCTGAAAGACCCAAATGGATCTGCTCGTGTCCTCCCTGCAGCGTGTGGCCGTTGACAGCGTTTAGGGTGAACATTTAGGGCCGGTGCCCGTGGGGCTGCAGAGGTCGGCACTGAGCCCCGGCGGCCCCGGCAGCTCGTGCCGCTCCGGCTGCTCCGTTCCTGGCCTTTGCTGCCAGGCCTGCGGGGTCGGCGCCGTGCCGGGGCTCCTGCTACSTGAGGTTTCTCTTTCCTCCAGGGCAGACGGGCAAGCTCATGTACGTGATGCACAACTCCGAGTATCCGCTCAGCTGCTTCGCCCTCTTCGAAAACGGCCCGTGCCTCATCGCCGATGCCAACTTCGATGTCCTCATGGTGAAGCTCAAAGGCTTCTTCCAAAACGCCAAGGCCAACAAGATAGAGAGCCGGGGCACCCGCTACCAGTACTGTGACTTCCTGGTGAAGGTGGGCACGGTGACGATGGGGCCCAGTGCCCGCGGCATAGCTGTGGAGGTAAGGGCTGCCTTKGAAGGCTGCCAGACACAAGCACCGATAGAGAAATCCCCTGCTAGGAGCCACACTCAAATCTGGAGCCCCTTTTCCTTGTGTGTGTTGACTGCCTGGGCGAAGGGTCAGCATCTCAAATGTCAGCTTGTGAACTAGTTGCCGTCAGTTTGTATCAGATGGATTCACGTAGATGTGAAAGACAGAGTATTTATCTCTTTTCCATGGCAAGGTTTAATTCAGACACCCACTTTGGGGCTCAGCTGCAGCTGTGGAAAAGCCTCTCATTGAAGTGTCAGCAAACAAAACCCAAAGGGATGCCATCAAACTGAAAAGACGCTTCAAGTCCTGACATGCAACCCTGGCAGCCCGCTTTGGGCGATTAGGCATACCAAGGGGGACCAAACACCCTCCTGAGCTGATGATTTAATGCTGCTTTGGGATTTGCTTCCCTTTCCCCATACAGCCCAGCCCCTTGGGCAGCCCAGTGGAGAGCAGGGTCCTCCTGCCCAGGTGCTGTGGGCACCAAAGTCCTAAGATCTCCTTTCCTGGGCATTTTACATGGGTGTGAACTTACAGGGATTGCTGGTTTGTTCCCAGCCCATCTTGTTGGTTTACATTTGTCCTTCCCCCTGTTTTCCAATACACGTTCTCCTTTTAGCCTTTAGAGAACTATTACATATCCATCTGTAACCAAAGCACTGCAGAGCTGGGCTCTCCATTTTAAGCCTTTGGCTAAACATGCGTGTCTAGCAAAGCAAAGGGACGCCGCGTTGTGGCCCGTGGGACGGTGGGCCAGGAGTCGCTGTGGGGCTCAGCGCGCTCGGTTCTGTTGGCAGGTCGAGTACTGCCCCTGCGTGGTAGCCAACGACTGCTGGAACGTGCTCATGGAGTTCATGCAGAGCTTCATGGGCAGCCACGCGCCCGGCATCCCSTCCGTGTTTGGCACCAAGCACGACAGCATCTACAGCCCGGCAGACACCATGGTGCAGTACATGGAGCTGTTCAATAAGATCCGCAAGCAGCAGCAGGTGCCCGTGGCTGGGATCAGGTGAAAGCGCTGCCGGGAGCCCGGTTCAGAGCAACTCCGTCCTCCTGCCTGGACTTTGGGGGCCAAGCATCTCCCCCAGGAGCAGCGCTGGAGCCAGCCCAAGGTTTCATTTGGTTACATTTTGAGGTTTGGGTTTGGTTTGTTTCTAATCTTTCCCCTGTTTTAAAGCAAAGGTCTGGAATGCTCTGAATGTTTCTTGTTGTCTTTTTCTGAGTGTCTGTGATGGGCACGTGGCTGGCATGGTTGTAAGCACGGTGCTTCGTGCAGGGGATTACTCTTTGCCTTGCATAAGGAGGAAAAGAGAGAAATTCCAGCCTAATACACGCAAGGGTAGAGTTTCCTTGACTGTAAACAGCTACAGGAGTTGGATTTTTAGGTATCCATGTGAAAGCATCTTGTTATTTTTCACCCAAATAAAAGCTGTATTTTTGAAAGGAGATGGAGTCTTTCTGCCCAGTGAGTGTGGTGCTGTTTGTGGTGTTTTGCTTTTGAGGTTTTCTGCTGTGGAAACAATTGCTTAACAGGGTTTTATCTTTGATTCGGTTCAAGAGCTTTATAACCCTGAAGCAAACTAATTTCCCTGTGGAAAAATCTGCAGGAATTCTTGCATTCATATTATGGGTATGTTCTTAGCTTGCCTTAATCTTTTGCATCTGATGGGAGTATTAAAATCTTCTTCTCGTGGTTCCAGTGAAGCCTAGTGATAAATGTCTGGCAGGAGCCCTCTCATGCACTGAAACTGAATTCCAGCCACTTTATGTCGCTGTTTGAAAGGTATCTAATAAATGTCCCATTCTGGTRCATCATTTCTCACCTGAGAAGTCCTGGTGACTTCAGGAGATACACTGAGTAAGGAAAGATTTGAGGAATAAGAGCTAAAGATTTATTATTAAGGCTTTACTATGTGATATCACTTGAATATTTTGCAGGRGTGATTTATTTTTACAGCATGAAAACCAGGGAAATGAGATCCCTTTTGAGCCCTGTGTCCCCGTGGTGTCACACATTCAGTCTCTGCTTGGGTTGTAGTTGTARTGTTTTCTTTCTTTCTTTCCTTTTTTGACTCATTCTGCCACTAACCTTTGTGCTGAACCTCCCTGGCACGGCCTTCCCAGGAAATGCAAAGCRCCTTAGCAGGGTTCCAACTCCCAGCCTGTGTCCTGGACAAAAAGAAAAGAGGTGGAGAAGGCTTAAAAACACTTTTAGGAAGGGAGACTTGCAAGGAGAACCGCGGGTACCTGGTGCAGAAGCGGACTGCATCTTCCTCTCAAAAATACTGTTGGTTGCTTACTGAAACAGGTCTTAAAGAATCTGAAGAGCAAGCAGAGCAGAAATGTTCGCMTAATTAGATTTCTCTTCTGTTGTGTTACCTTGATTGACTAACTGGCAAAGAACTAGTTATTTAGATATGATTTCTTTGTGATTATCTTTTATACCTGCAAACCTAATTAACTGCTAGAGTGCCTAGAGCATTTAGTGTGGGCATTTAATAAATTTAACCAGCACCAGTCCAGAAAGACCCAGCTAATGAACCATAATAAATGGCATAATGCACAGTAAGTGTATTAGGAATTCCAGCATCCTGGGAATTTGCATCTCTTAGCTCAAGTTCATAACTTGCACACTGGCTTCAATGAGACTGTTTCTGTGCTGGTTGAGGAATCTGACCTGATATCCATACACGTGGTTAAATGTGCCTGGGAAAACTTATGAAAACAAAATCTAATCTTTGTAGAGATAGTTATTTCTGTCCTGTTTCTGTTTTTATATTCTAAAGTTAAAAAATATTCCTTTTAATGACCAGATTGGTCATGGTGAATGCGGCTAATGCTTTATTAATTCCCCAGAGATAGGTTCTGTAACCAGAAACGTCAAAACTACAGCCACGTGTCTTAAAATCAGCAAATGTGTGCAGGGAACTCTGAGCCCTTCGGGTCTCTTATTAATACATGGTACTGTTCTCGGAGCAATAAAACGGGACCCCTTGGGCTACATCCTGCTTCAATTACAGYGCGGCAGCCGCTGACGTCAGCCCGTGTCCACGCGGCAGGGACGGATCCCGTCCAGCCTCGCGCCTTGGCAGTGCGTGTTGATGTAGCAGCATTCCCGCAATGGGGGCACCACGTGCCCCGCGCTGGGGCTCTGCTCGGGGGCTTTTTACTTTCTTGATGGACAAAATGCCTGTTTTCCAGTCCGCTCCTCCTTTCTGCCCCCCCAGCATCAATCCGGCAGGTTGACGTGGCTGCAAACGTGCTGGTCTGCGTCTTAACAAGTCTTCAGGGGGCTTTCAGTCGTGTTACCATAATGGATTGAGCCGGTGTAATTGAAAACCATCCCAATTTTGCCTGTCAAGGCATGGTCTGCAAGGTTGTTTCCTTGCTGCTCCCTAGTGTTTTCCCTGTGAATATAAAATCCAAAGGGAAAGGCTGCCAAGCTATATTCCTCGGCATGCATTTTTCGCCCGTGCTTCTGCACCTCTCAAAATCGCTGGCGGCGCTGGCGCTTTCAAAGAACTGGAGCCTGACCCAGAGGGGACTGGGGCCCCTGGGGATCCCCTCGCAGTGCTGTGACTCCCCTTGCAGCGCAGCTAAGCGGAGGTTAAGTAAAGCTGCCAGGGTCACCCGCCGTTGCAGCGGCACCGAGAGACTCCTCATCTCAATGCCACGSCGGGGATCCTGCGGGGTTCTGCTTTGTTTCGTGCTGTGGCATTTTTATGAGGAAGCACTAGCAAAGCAGCTGCACCCCGCTAAGCGTGACAAAGGGAGTGAGGACATAAAGGCCTTGTTTCATTTCCTAGCAGCCACTGCAGACTCGGGGCTCCATGCAGTGGGAGTTCAGGAGTGCACGACTCTGGGTTTCTGTGCGGGTCGGGATTCAGAACAGACCGGCGCTGGTCCGAAAGGGGAGGCGTGGACGGGGGATAACGGAGGGAGCAGGAGGTGGCGTTTGGGAGAAGGCGGCATTCGGGCTCTTGCGAACAGCGGGGCGAGCACGGAGCCCCAAGGAGCTCGCAAGGAGGCCGCGACGGCGCGGCGTGGTCTGCCCGTGCAGAGGGGAGCGGCTGCTGCGCGAGCGGCGCGGCTCTGCTCGGAACCCAGCGGGCTGGCGGGCGCCGTGCGGAGCCCGGGGCTTTTATAGCCCTGTGCGAGGGAATCGTGCCCCGTTTGCTCCGGACCGGCCCCCTGGCCCCAGCGCATCGCAAGGGGTGTCCTTTTTGGCGGGGGTTAGTGCAGCCACGGGGTCACGCAGCAGCTGCCGTGCGGGTGTCCCGCGTGGCCGGAGCGCGGTGGCTGTTGTGACACCGTGGTGGCCACCGTGACACCGTGGTGGCCACCGTGACACCGTGGCGGCCACTGTGACGCCGTGGTGGCCACTGTGACGCCGTGGTGGCTGCTGTGACCCCGTGGTGGTCATTGTGACCCCGTGGTGGCCACTGTGACACCGTGGTGGCCATTGTGACACCGTGGTGGTCGCTGTGACCCCGTGGTGGTCACTGTGACACCGTGGCGGCCATTGTGACCCCGTGGTGGCCGCTGTGACCCCGTGGTGGCCACTGTGACCCCGTGGTGGCTGCTGTGACACCGTGGTGGCCGCTGTGACACCATGGCGGCCGCTGTGACCCCGTGGTGGCTGCTGTGACCCCGTGGTGGCCATTGTGACACCGTGGCGGCCGCTGTGACCCCGTGGTGGCCACTGTGACCCTGTGGTGGCCATTGTGACCCCGTGGTGGCCACTGTGACACCGTGGTGGCCACCGTGACACCGTGGCGGCCATTGTGACCCCGTGGTGGCCACTGTGACCCCGTGGTGGCCACTGTGACCCCGTGGCGGCCGCTGTGACCCCGTGGCGGCCGCTGTGACCCCATGGCGGCCGCTGTGACGCCGCTGCCCCGCGCCGGGCTCCGCGCGGCCCCGCAGCAGGACGCGGGTCCCGGCAGCCCCCAGCGCTGACCCGCGCACAGGTGAGGCTCCCCGCGCTGCCTCAGTGACTGTCCCCTGCTGGGTGCCCGTGTCCCTTGGTGGCATTGCCGGTCCTTCACGGTGGCGCCTGCACCAAGGGCAGCAACGTTCCCCGCCGAGGCCCGTGAGCGACRGCCGCCCCTGCGGGGCCTGCAGCTGTGCGGCTGTCACCACCCGGGCCCCGAGGTGTCACCTCACCCCCGTGTCACCTCATGGTCACCTCAGGTCCCCAAGGCCACCTCCTGGCCCTGCACCATGTCCATAGCCACCTCAGGGCCTGTGGCATGTCCCCCCCCTCCATAGCCACCTCAGGAGCCCTGTCACCGCCCGGCCCTGCGGGATGTCACAGGCCCCCAGTCACCCAGGGGCCCTGTCACCTCCCGCGCCCCCCACTGCGGGACAGGCCGCCTCGCGCGCTGCCCCTTTAAGAGGCTCTTTGTCTCCGGCACATCCTTATTTACCCTCCCGAGCCTCAACCAAACTTCAGCCTGGGATTCACAAAGCCCCGCTACGTCAGCGCCCGGGGCCGGGCCCGGCCAGTGCCCGCCCCTCTACGCTGCCCTCCCTCTGCACAGCCGTAAGCCATTGAAGAGCTCTCCCTAGCGGCTACGCAAAGGTCGTAAGCTCCAAGGGAGCMGCCTTCGCCGTCTGCTTCCTCGGCGTAGGCTACGCAAACGGCGTGCGRGGCTGTGCCAGCCACGCCGGGAGCGTCCCGACCGCGACTTACGGAATTCGCGTAGCGGCGCCCGTGAATAGGATATAAAAGGGAGGGGAGGAGGGGGAGGGACGAAGGTTGTGTGGCGTGCCCCACAGCCAATGGCGGCGCGGGGCGGGCGCGGCGGGCGGCCAATGGGCGGGG